TACACTATATACATATATCTATTCCTTTTTTTTTTTTGGTATTGGTGGTGCAATTACACCAGAGCCCAAAAGGTCCATCTGACCCATTTCATATAGACCCACTTGTAAGCTACACTAAATGCACACTTTCGGGACCCAAGATCTCGCCTGATACACAGTTGCACTCATAAAAAAGTCCACCTGTGAATGGCTGGCGCGACACTCTTCGAGGGCCATACGAATCAACAACCAGATGTCCTCTCTACACACACACACAAACACTAGTGTAATATTTCACGAAACATTTGGAAATGTGGTTTTATTTTATGTTATGAATAAGTGTTGATTTTAAACATATACAACATTATCGGGATTGGGCTGTGAGGAGACTCAAAATATTCTTACCCCAGCACTTTCATAGGCTTAGGTACACTACTGTGTACATATTACATAAATATATGTTCGAAACTTGAAATACGCCTATAAAAACGTTTTTGTTTTATTAAACAGCTAAAAAACTAAAACTGAACTGATGAATGATATAACTCATATTTTTAGATATGCTTACATAGTTCCCTCTATAGTTTAACAGATTTGTAGACTCAAGTCATGTGACTTGGACTCGAGTCAATTTTTTTGACTTGAGACTCTGACAAAATAACTTACGACTTCAAATTTTGTGCCACATTTGAAAATCCACGCTGAGAGATGAGTAGCTTTTCCCATTATCTATATTACATCATGTATTAAAAATGACGACCTAGACAGGCTTATATTACACACAATATGCTGCACAAAATTTGAAGAAGTATTTGGCCCAACAGTGACTTTACTTTTGCAGGTCCTGCAGTAAGCAAATCTTTTCGATGTAGAACACTCGTAGTCTCTAAAAGCAAACGATATAACTCTCGGGATCATACCAGTGCCTGTAGCCGCCATTTTGCTACCTTGCTGAATTGATAGTACAATGAACACATATACTGTATCTCTCTCTCTCTCAACACAAGCTTGGTCAATTTGACCAACCACATGACCTCTGTATACTCATTTAAAAGTCTTTATAGTTTTGATACTACTAACTTTTAATATGGTTTGTATATCTTCACAAAATTTGGCAGACTTTATGTAAACATTATAAGTCTTTCACATACAAAAATATCATATTTTTAGTGAAGTATTTTTAATAAACTAAAAAAAAATTGTTTGTGAATATATCCAGTATATTTTTGACGAGTCCGCGTGCAAAGTGATTTTCATGTTAAGATTAAAAATACTTTATAGAGTTGATTTCTTCATCTATGTATTCCTTCATTCACACCAACAAACTACTACTAACTGCTGTCCAAAGATTTCCACACAACTACCAGAACAAAAACCTCAAAACTCAATTCACAAACAAAATTGACATTGATACACCAAACAACAGAACAATATTACACTGCAGTTTACCATTTATCTTTGACATCAGTTAAAAAATAATCAACACTTGGAGAAAACTTGCCATTAAACATAAAATTCCTTTTGACTTCAAATTCACCCAAAAACCCAGCCCTAAACTAGAATCATTAGTAAATAAAAATTACATAGAATCACACAATACAAACGTCATTTATAAACTAGATTCAACAACATAATGAAAAACCCTCCCATGTTAACATCATTGCAACCCAAAAAAACTCGGTATATCTATACAAAGCACTGTAATTTTAAACAAAGAACCAAACGTTAATAAACGCAGAATAAAGGAAGCTATCTTAATTGAACAAAACATCCCCACCCGAAACCAACACCCCAGGGTACCAAGATAATTTACTAAGCTGTGAAGCAATCTCCAGTCATGTAACCTCTTTGTTCCATACTGTATATATATTCATGTGTCTGTAAACTACTTGTACCTAAGGATGACATGATCTTGTCGAAACGTCGTATATTTATATTAACTTTTTCATTACCCAGTCAAGCCATCTCAAAACTTTTATTTTCTAAAAAGAGGGTTCCTCTAGCCTTATTATTAACTGTAGGATGCCACTATCAATAATTGAACATTTATTTTTCGTCACTTCATAGATATTTTAGGTGGTGAGTATGAGCCAATTAGTAGAGGAACTGTATCATCCCACATAAATGACATGGTTACGAAACAACAAGACCTCGTCAAGGCCCAACTACAAGAAACATTCTGGGTTTTATTCACTATAGACATCTGATCAGACAGACAGCTAAGAGATTTCCTTGGTGTGACTGCCCATGCAATTGAAATAAAGAAGTCTGCTATCAACCTGAGGTCGTAACTGTTAAGCTGTAGCAGATTCACAGGTTCCCACACAGGTGAGAAAATCAGCAAGGCATTTGAAGCCATCTGTGATGAATATGTAATGAAGAACAAACTGGACTACATTATATGTGAGACAACGCATCAAACATGAAGAAATCATTCACTGTGTGCTTCCCTAGAACCACTGATGATGATGCAGGACTTACTAGTGCTAATGACAGTTTATGGGAAGAGCTCCATGAAGAAGACCCGCAAGATGTAGATATGGCACTGACCAGGAACTGCCAGAAGCAGTACCTGCAATGTTTTACACACATCATGCAACTGGTGGTGTCAGATGGGCTAAAGGAAACAAAAGCAATCAACCTAGCCATGAGTAAAGCTTCAATATTGTGCACCTTACTGCATTCCAGTTGCTCCTTCAAAGAAGCCTTTGAAAAGGTGTTTGGGCCTAACAAAGGGATTCCTGCCCTTAACAACACCAGATGGAACTCAACCCTAATATAGGTTAGAACTATAGTATGTCTCGACCATCATGCGATCTCCTGGAAGAACGGGCACATAAAGAGGTAGCTTTCAGCAGCAGAGAATGGAACCAGTTGCAAGAGCTAGTCACCATCTTGGAACTTTTCATTGAAGCAACCAGATTGATGCGAGGAGAGCAGGTTGTCACCATAAGCCCAGTCCTACCCTGTGTGTTGTCGTTAAACCATTATCTGCATGATATGTTAGTCAATGTTCGGTACCTGAACGGCCTAATCAGAGCCCTGAAAGGCTCACTGTGGAAAAATTCCAAGAAATATTTGTCACTGCACAAATGATGGAATCAACACAGCCAATCTACCATTTGGTGATCCCATTTATATCTTGTCAGCAGTACTTGATCCAGCATTCTGCATGATGCAGATTGAACATGATGTCTTGGCATCAGAAGAGGTGAAGGACAAAGTCAAGAAACGTACAAAAGGTAAATATCATTAAAAATGCCATTAGCCATTTGAGTGAAATATGAAGTGTGGGTTACTTTTAAGGGAGCAATTTGTTTTGAATAAAAAAGAAATACAGAAGATAAGATGCCTAAAATCCCTTTAAAAGAGGAGGGGCATGCTGAATAGTTCTGACTGCATTTTAAAAATATATAATGTAAATTAAATTACAATTAATATTAGTTGTTTTTTTACACACTGGGTGACCTGAACTGATCCAATGAAGCTAAACTTGAGAATTATCAAATATGACTCATCAATACTTTCAGACTTTATGCACCATCAGCACTACATGTATTTGCTCTTGTGTATAATCTGCTAAATGTTAGCCTTCCGTTTATCACCATTACAGTGTTAATGATTCACATTCATTGAGAGTAACCATCATTAAATCATGTCAGGTAGAAATCATATATGCATGACAATTTAACTTAGAACTTGTTTTACTTTGGATTTTCTTCCATATATTCATTATACAGATTTGATCATGTCCCAGGCTACCACAGTATTGGTAGAAAATGACACTAGTAGCGACGAGGAAGACATTCCATCCCAGAACGTCCCTCAACTTTTTGCAGGGTACAAAAGAAGCAGACACTGGGGTGGGGCTTCTAAGACATCTGTTTCTTCCCAACTCAAAAGATACTTCGAGATGTGCCAGGAACATCATGAAGGAAGTCCCAATGCATATCTTCACTTCTGGTTGATCAACAAGAACAACCTCTCCAGGCTGTTTCCTGTGGCTATGAGAGTGCTGACTGTTCCCACTTCTAGTTCTCCCATTGAACGAGTGTTCAGCTATGGAGGCATCATTATGTGCCCTCATAGAGCTAAGCTTAGTGACAAAATGCTGTCTCAGATGATATTTCTAAAATATAACAGTTTGTACAGATAAGTTATATACGCTGATTGCCATCTTCTAGTCAGTGATGTGACACACTTTGATGCAGATATTAAGTACAAACACACAACTTGGAGACCTTATAGTGTAGCTGGTCCAAAATAAAAGATAGTTCATACTTCCTTTACCAACCTGTGTGATTCAATTGAATTTCCACCGCCATGGTTATGTGGCACAAATAGTGTACTATCAGTTTGTTTTGGCATGACATCAGATTCAAATTATATCCAACTTATTTCATTTGCGTATATTGGAAAAGATCCCCTACAAACAAACTATCACTAAGCCCGTGTAGAAACAAACTGAGGGTACATTATTTTGGCTTCCATAAACAAACAACATAAAAGCACAGTGCATATTCTCCCTTTTAGAACATTTGGCTATTCCACAAACACATTTTTCATTATGACTTGGACTTGCAAAAAAATAAAATAAATAACCTGTACCAACTCTATAGTTTCAACCTTGTAAGTAAACTTAGTACGAGTTTTTATCTTTGCAGTGACGTCTCTGATATTATAAATATTGCCCTGTGAACTAATTCAACAAAATACATTAATTAGAATGAAACAAATTCTATAAACTCTTGTTGTATGCAGGACGTAGATAAAAATAACTTGTGAATATGTTATAAAATATAACTGTAGTAATTTGTTTTCCTTCTAACCGATTCTGGAACAGTGCTAGGTTCAAACATACACATCACTTCCTAAAACACACAGTATGGAAATAACAAGCAATGCCAACTAGATGGTGAATTTATTACTGTGTAACGAATTTGTTGTTATGTATTTATTTTAATATGAATGTTGTTTAGATTCAGTTTATATTTAAAAACATGCATAGCTTGAAGTGTTAGATATGTATTGTGAAACTCCCACCTATTCTCCAAAGCTGTAGAAAATTCTCGAGAGTAGGAATCAACAATATATCTATATACATAAACGTTTAAAAAAAGCTCAGCATTGTTACGTAATCTGAATTTTCTAGAAAACCTTCCCACGCCTATAAATACAACCAACACGACGCGCCTAAAGAAGAGTGTCTATTAGTAGTTCGCTATAATCAGTGTGCTATAAGCTTCGAAAGCTACAACTGTGATTTTTATAACGCTTATCAATCGGAAAACTTAAGATATTTGACCAGGAATATTTATAAATTTCGAACATTACAAATCGTTTAATTTCAGTGGATTCTCATTATACATTAGTATTTTTACGAAAACATTACCTAACTTCAACGGAACAGAAATTCAGCGTGTGTGACAAAGGACAAAGCTAGCTAGCTTCCCGGTAAATCGTATCTACATCAACTCGTAGTTAACTCGCTTATCGTAAACCCCCGATAAGATATCAAGGAAGTTTATATTGTTTATAACTTTGTGAAACTTTTGTTTATAAATCATTGTTTGTAATAACTATTTGTAATAATTGTATTGTTGTGTGTATATTAAAACGTATTTGTGTTAAAAACGAAAACGATGTGTATTAATCTTGTTGGCAAATATCGTAAATTGACTAATATATCGGCGTATATTTAAATACTAAATCCAAAGTACCATTTAACTAAATTTAAATTATCAGTTAACTCGGCTTCGGACTATTCGAAATTCTAATACTTAACAACTGATACATAGCAATATCACATTGAAAAGAAAAAGGCGAGTACGTTGTGCAGAGCCCTTTTCTCACACAAAGCATTACACCTCGTTTGCGTTTTCGAAAGTTTCGGTTTTCTATCTCGATCACTTCTATTATTAATACGGTAATGTCAGTTTCACGAACCATCTTCCAGAGCCGGATCAGGACGTTGGGGGCCTGGGCACATTTTGAAGGGTAGCCCTAAGAAGAGAACTTCATAAATGCAATATTATTTGTTAATTTCAATTTGAGCAATACAAAAAACGAAACAAAAAAAAACAAAAAACAACAAGAAACAAACAAGCCAATTAGTAGTTAATATGCAAAATACTAACTCTAATATTTGTAATAAATATAATTACATTGAATTTTTAAATGGCCGAACAAATATTTATGGAAAAACAAGTTGTAAAACATGTTAACGAAAAAATTACGAAATTATCATTTATATGAAACCAATAAACACAGTTGCAAATATTTCTTTCTCGATGAGAAATACAATTTTTGGTTAAAATAACTATATTTATTTTTCTCTCATAATCACGGGGACCCGGCTCAAATGTATCCATTCGCTTTGACCCTTCTTCCAATTCAGTCACGCCATCTTCAGGGCCTTGCATACAGTTCCTATTGAAACCTGGTTGTGTTGTTTTGTTAATATATAGCAACATGATGGACTATCTGCGCTCTGTCCACCGCTGGGGCTCGTTGTATGTCCGTAGCTTTGTCACTGACCCAACTGAAGACTTTAAACATAGTGTCATAATGCATTTTTTCTTTGCATAGAATATCCTTGACCAGTCAAAAGATTTGATTTCTACACGTTCGTCTGGTATTTCAGCCCTGGAAGTCATGAGTAGAATAATACCCCAGCTACGAGTCATAGTGTAACTACCTGTATTTTAAGTCTTACAATGGTGTGCCATTTTCCGATTGGTCGGATGACAATTAATCACAGTGTTAACTATAAACATGTTATTGTACTCTGGAGTAGTTCATTTTCATACAGTAAAGGAGTGTCATTCTCTTAGTGTTTGCCTTTTATAAATATTTTCTCCCCCTTTCCATAATTCTTTTCAATATTGTACACAACACGCATACACAAAATAATTTACAAAAATTACATTATATCCTCATTCTTTTCTCATTTTCTAATCTTGGTACTAATACATTTAACTTCCTAAAAACAAATGGAAATGGATAAAAAACCCAGAGAGATGTAATGATATACAAGGTTATTATCCTAGTCAGCAATATTTTTGTATTAAGTACAAAGCTACATAATGAGCTATCTAAGTTATGCCAACTACAGGGATCGAGCCCTGAATGTGAGCGTTATAAGCCCTCAAGTTTACTGCTGAATCACCAGGTAGAAGTAAACAATATTCAAACAAGGTTTAACTTCAAGCTAGTAGTAAATGTATCATGTTAAACTATACCCAATACAAATTTCAGGATACCTATACAAGCTATCAATTTTCAAAAGCCTCATTTTAATAGCTGCAATTTTAATTAATAAACACTACATAATTACCGCACATTTGTTGCAATACAATTAAATAGTTATGAAAAACATTTATATATTTATTTCTTAAATAATCAAATGTCTGATAAAGTTGTTTTAACCCTAAAATTACCGAAAGGGTCTATGCCCCATCCACATTTTAAACCCGTTTTCCGAAAATATGTATGCTCTAAATTGTATGTGGGTTCATGACTTGGTTGCTTACAGAATCACTAATAACATAAAAGTCACACAATAAAGTTAACCATAATACCGTTAATATTACAATTAATCATTGTTGAGGTTTCGTATGTATTACATGCATAAAAGTGATTTCACCCAGTTTGTTTAATATGTACTTTATACCGAGCATAGTAGTGGGCATAAATATAAAACTGCTCAATATGATACAGTAAGTGGACCCCACTGGTTTGTTTGTTTGTAATTTAAGCACAAAGCTAAACAATGGGCCATCTGTGCTCTGCCCACCACGGGTATTGAAACTCGGTTTCTAGCGTTGTAAGTCCGCAGACATTCCGCTGTGCCACTGGGGGCGACCCCACTGGTAATTAAAGACGTGAATAAGCCGGTCAGTTGAGAGTTCAAATGTAAAAATGTACAAACGATTTTTTGTGTGAGATTTGAGTGTTTTATTTCAGATCAAGAGAGCGAGAATTAACGGATGATGGGATGTGGTAGCAACATCTACGAGGAGACAGCAACCAATGATATGTGTACCTATACAACAACTTAGCCTACCTATTATTTCATCAGAGCAAGGGTACAAAGATTCTTAATTAATGATATTTAATATAAGATTATTGTGTAACACAAGTTGTTGCAATGTCTGTGGTTCTTGCGTTTTCCGCCGAGAAAGATCATTCCTTTTATTATAGGGAGATGAACTGATATTTTCAGACGGTCTCACACAACATAACCGGGCAGGTATTCGGATTGAAAATAATACGAGTTGCAAAACAACTTAATCCATTAAGCATCCGGGATGTTCAAAGGTTACCTAATCCTACTTCACCCCGCACGTGGTGTGGAGGTATTTAAAGATACTGTTGTTTCTGATACGGGTTAGGCTGCATGGTTGTTGACCTGGGAGGGAGAGAAAGCCGAAAAGATGAAGGCTGGCAAAGCGAAAGCAAGGCGTGTCCTAACGACGAAATGAGCCGAAGAAGAGAAGTCATTGACGAAACAGTAACAAACGGGCCTGGCAAAGATCTATAAATCCAAATGACGTGGCTGAGATCTACAGATCCAATGCCTTGAAATTAAACGTGGTTGGGTGGGATGGGGAGACGGGAGCACCCCAAGAAAGCCCACTTTCACTGGGTGGGACCGATTTAAGCAAAACTATCTCATGCTCTGTATAAATTGCCCCTACGAATGTTAACTTGAGACAATTTCCAACAGGACTTGTACTTTCTCATAATATAGTTATAAGAATGTGCTATTCTTTACATCATCTTCTCTAAAGATACCAACAATTAAATGTTGAATAACAACAAAAAACGTTTTTACTATAAAATTAGCTATACATGATGGCTGCTGGAATGATCTTGAACAGACAATCTGAGAAAGAAGTATTTTTGCTGACAAGTAAATTCAATTAGTTTCTAATTTCTGGGAATGTCATGTTATCTGACTAGTCCCATTAACAGAAAGGGAAACCAGGATTTCCAGCATCTCTGTCAATACAGACAATTGCATGTCAGCCAGTCACTAAAAACTAACCAACTCATTGAATATGCTGGCCACAATAGAGAGAATATACACTCAGAACAGTTCTTCTAAATCACTAATCATGTATGATTACCAAGTAGAAGGATGAATGCAATTCAAGATTAGGCACATCTTGTTCATTTGGAATGAAGTACAAAGACTTGTACTAAAATTTTGAAAATTTATATGGATAAAGATATGGAGAGCTATAGTTTATGAAACTTGCATATCACACACATATCACAGAACTTAAAAATCTGTTACAAAAAATATACTTTCATCTTTAAAGAATGTATGTTCAATTCTGAATAGAATATTTGTTTACTCCATGTCTTTTAACTCATCCAATAATGTAGCGAGCTTTTAACTACCTCCAACATCCACTAATTTTGGATATACTGATGTTAGTTTCCACACGAGAGCCTTAAGTTCAAAGGATACCACACAGGAAAACAAGTTCTTCACAGGTTAAATAGAATGTAATTAATCTTGGTAATATTAATAGTAAGCATAAAAGTATTTTGCAGAAAAAGGCAGAGTAAAATGAAAAGTAAATTCAGGTGTCATTACATGTACAAAGCAGAGGTGAAAACTATATGGAAAAGACTGCAAAGAAATATCTTAAAAATTGTACCAAGAAATAGCATATGGAGGAAAAATCTTCACCTGTTATTTTCAAGAATCCAAAGTTAGTTATATATGAAAACTATTAAACTAAACACTTGGAAAACAACACTGACATGAAACTTAGATTAACAGAAATAAAGAAGTTGAATTTGGTTAACTTGATACTTTCAAGAGCTCTAGATTAGTTAAAATGACATTGTTTTTTACAGAAAGTAGAGTTATTGAAATTTAGGTTCTACACCACAATCTGTGTGTGTGTGTGTGTGTGTACATTCTTAAGAATTAACATTAATGTTCTACTTAAAATGTGTTTATAACAATCACTGATACAGTTTTACAATGCTAGGCATATGTTTCAGGTAAACAAAAGGAATATAAACCATAGGAAAAGTTTTAAAAATATTTTATTGTAACAATAAAAGAAATTTAACAAAATCAAGAAACATTGTTTACTGTACTTCTTAAGTTACCAAATATAATTCCATGCACATAATATTGTAATTCAAATAACAATGTAAGTAATTGTGACAACTTTAAATCCAATCAATACATAATATTCTGCAACAACCAAAGCTATTCCGCATCTCATATACTGAAAAGCAAAAGTAAAAATTTATTCTAACAGCTATAATCACTATCTGATTTCACATATACAAACTTTATAATTAAAGCTAATTCTTAATCACAGACAAATTATTCTCATTTGACTAGTTTGTATTTATAAGGATGATTTAATGGGTTCAGATGTTATACTAATGCCAATATAAAACTATTTAATTTTATCTAGACAGGGCAATTATAACTTGAAGTACAAACAGTTTTTATACAAAGATTTTAGTCACTTATATAACAATTTTAATATAAAAGACAAACAAAATTTTGAAAATTGCTATTATTTATAAACTGTAAATATATATAAATCATAACCACTTTTAAACAGTAAATGAAAAAATAATTTAGAATGAAATGCTATAATATTGCATTAAACAAGTGTAGCAAAATGTTCAAGCAGTCCATCTGTGATCCAACAAAGTTTTATATTTTGTGTACTAAAGACTTAATCAAATTTTCAAGTGCTAAACGTTTAGGGGTAATTACTACAATAAACTTTACACAAAACTTTCAGATACCTCTGATGTAATTTATTCATTTAAGTTTTACTAATGAAATAGATTACGAAACTGGCTTGCATTATTATTATTATTATAGAATTAGTAATGTTGTACACAAAAAAATAAGTTCAAAAAAGGAATAATGTTCTTGCAAAATAAAACTGAAAACAAAATTCTAAAATAAGCTTCCTCTATCTCTCCTCTGACCCACTGATACTGTTTAATATCAAACATGATGTTATTTAAAAAAAAAAAGTTTAATTAGTTCTTTGATGCTTGCAGTAAAACTATTATGATGAAACATTATTAGCCGATTATACATGAAATAAACTTGGAATCTATTTCAAAGTTAAGCAATTTAGAATGTAGCTATTCTAACAGCTATAATCACTATCTGATTTCACATATACAAACTTTATAATTAAAGCTAATTCTTAATCACATATACAAACTTTATAATTAAAGTGTTCTTCCCCATCAAGCTATGCAATAAAATCATACCAGTTATGATTGTATTCTTTAGAAAAATCACCCTAGTATATAAAAAATACTCATATATTTTGAAAATTAGAAAAATTTGGTTCCAACTTTTAATCTTAAATATACTCAGCTCCAAACACCTTAAAACTGGTAGTACTTCCACAGTATGTTTGCAAGTTAACATGGAATGGTGATTAATTATCCTGAACACTGTCAAGATCACTGTATGTGGAACTCTCAGGTTTTCTTCTCCTGACACTAGGCATAAATGCCTCGGGCTAAAAACATAAAAGACAAACTTGTTAATAAAGAATTTTGATCAACTCTATATAAATAAAATCTTTGCATATTAATACAGAAATGAGTGTTCATCAACCCTTTTTTTTAACAAGAATATGGCTATTTAGCTAACCATTAGTTTAAAAGGAATAAACTCTACAATAAAATGCTTCCTATTGTGAAATAATAATTTTACCATTTATTAGCTGTCAGAAAAATAATAATGTAATTATTCATACATACTTACCAAAAGCAATCAAATTAGAAAATGTACCTTAATATTAATTCACTCAAGTACTTGGTCCCTTAACTACATCAACTATTTCAGTTTTAAGTTTTAGCATATTAAAAGAACAGGGAAAAAAACAAAGTTGTATTACATATGTAGTATCTCAGAAGTATCATTTTATAAAATAAACAAATACAAAAATTAATAACACTCAAAGAAAATTTACAAAAAATCAGACCACAAATAACAATAAATAATCAGAGTTAAAAAAAAAAAAACATTTTCAATTAAATGTCCATTAAATCATTGCTTTTTCCTAATTCTTTAACTTAGAACATTGATATTTTATTTTCATTACAATAACTGCAGTGAATGAATTAACCAATAGTTAAGATTGTACGTTTTACTTACAACATTGTGCTACTTTCATTAAATTTTAGTAATGACTTACATCGAATGCATCTCCTTCAGTTGTAACTTGTAAATACTTCTTACTTCGATAATAGTCCCTTTTTTTCAGTAGATAAAGCACAATAATATCACCTATTACTGAAGCCTGCAAAATAAAAAAATCAGAGATAATGTTTTAAAAATTCAAATATTTCATTCAGTTAGTATGTTTGTGTAACAAACTTCAAGTTCTGATTACTTAATATTTTCATTCAGTTAGATTTCATTTCCAATACTGCAAGGGGTAATGGATTTACCTAATTTTTCAATTTTTACTACTTCTTTAAGTAAAGATGACTACAATTTAAAACAAATCTTTACAGTTAGTTTTCTTAGATTGGTGTCACTGCTAGGAAGTTCTTGATTGAAAATAGTTAAAACTACAGCTAAAACCAAATTGCCTAATCACCATTTACATTTTTCATAATACTGGAAAATTACAGTGTTATTTTTTGATGTTAGAATTTGAACATTAACATGTAATAAACATTCAGATGTTTTAAAACTCAAGAACAGCTAAAATGGAATAGAAAAAATGTATCATTTAAAAACAATGTTCTGCTACTGTTAACGTGGCATCATCAGGTACTCAGTACAACTATACACAACACTTAAGATGTTGTCTTCTTGTTTTTTTTATTTATTTTCTCTGTTTCTTTAATAAATTTGTTGCATGAAAGAATAGGGGGGGGTCACATCAAGTGGATAAAAAAATCTAATATTAGTCCAAAATATAATCCTTCAGTTCTAAAGAAACATGAATTATAATTCATCGAATTATTTATATTAAGCTATTAGCCACTGTTTACCTCTTAAGCTGATGAATAACACCAGAAAAAGCATTTGCAAGCAGTGTAGACCCTTATCAGACTGTTCAGAACAAGCATTCTGATATTATATATAAATCGTTTATTAAAGATATGTATAAAGTACATCCATGGGTATTTTTACTAATAATATATAGTCATAAACTTGTAAATAGATTTACCTTTGGTACAGCTAGTTAGACTTTTCCTCGGTTACAGTCTTGGAACTTATCATCTTGACAGCTGCTTTGACAGCAAACAGTAGGGCACCCACATGGGAACAAACTACCCCTATACCTGCCATGCATGTGCAGTGTCCAGAAATTATGGCTCTATGATTTTCACATATCAACCATGGAGGTAAACATGTATCATTCATCCTTTGATTATGCTTCACTTTTACAGAAAAAATGAACTTGTTGTTTATTACCATCTGTCCCATGTGTAGCACCCATCCATTAAAAAATAATTGTATGATTGAAGAGACTTGTATGCTTAAATTCCTATAATGAGTAAACAATTTGTGTGTTAACTAAATAATAGACTATATCTGGATACATGACTACTGGCCATTTAACATGTCGTTGTCCATTCCCATTTCTTGATATTGTATGGAGTTTTACCATCTATTACCTTCAATTTATTCAAATATCTTGCCTTATACACTTCATCTAATGTTTGTTTGTTTAGAATTTTGTGCAAAGCTACACAAGGGCTATCTGCACTAGCTGTCCCTAACTTAGCAGTGTAATACTAGAGGGAAGGCAGCTAGTCATCACCACCCACTGCGAACTCTTGGGCTACTCTTTTACCAACAACTTTTTTTGGTTTTTGTAGTTTTTTTATGATGTGTTCAACAGCTTAAAGGAAATAGTAATTGTTCAAGTCTGGCAAACCTTTAATTTATCTTTATTGAATAACTGAAAGTAAAATTAACTATGAGACCTAGGTGTGTCAATTTTGGAGAGGGGGGGGGGTACAAGTATTGTATTATGCTCAGAAATTTCAGGAAATTAACACACCCTAAGGAGTTTGGTCAGAGTACAGTCAAATCACCTCAAACTCAAAATTAGTTATGCACAAAATTACATAAATAAAACTTTTATTGAATGGATTTCAATTCTGAAGTTTTTTTCTTTTAATGTATAGAACAATAACAAACTGTTTCCTATAAGTTGTTTAATTCAATAGTGCAGTTTTACCTTTGAGGCAGAATCCACACACGATAAGAATTAAATACTATGTCCCCAGAGAACTGTAATGTATAGAATAGGGAGTGATACCCAAGAGTGATACTAATGTCTTCAGTTTAAGACTGAATAAGCAAACAGTGTGATATTTAGTGGCTATCCTATTATTTGAGGACATTTCATAACAGTAAACAGAAATTTAACATATTGATCTTTACAATATCACTTCTTATCAAAGGCAGAGAAACTAAATATTTATAATCTTATATGATTTACAATGTGCTATAAAAATTTCAGCATTGTGAAATACAGTGACTTAATTTTAAATGAAGAAAATATAGAAACAGATCATCAGTAGTAACAGAATAGTTATTGTCGTTATTTAAAAACCCCCAATCATTTCAAAAACCTACCACAGCCAAAAGTCCCAAACCAGATCCAATGTTAATCATCAAAGGCACCACATTAAACTTTCCTGCTCGTCCATGTACAATTACATCATATTTAATCCCATAGACTTTATAGAGAGTTCTAGAGTTATCATCATAATAGTTGGAATACCTGAAAGTAACAAAGTGGAAAACTGAATGTTTAATAAAATATTGCTAATAATTCCAGTCCACACACACACAGACATACATATCGTTCAGTAATAATATTCAACACATGTGCTGTCCTTTAATTGAGTGTGTATAAACACACACATTTGATGATGTATTCATACCTCAACAACTTCATGAAATTTGACATAATTACTAAAATTTTAGCAAAAAAAGGTTACTTCGAAACAACATCATGTTTCTTCCTATAGTATACAAAATAAGGGTATCAAGTGTACTAGAAATATTGAATATTTCTTTTATTGAGGACAATTTCTGAGATTATAGTAATTATTTCTTTATAAGCTGAGGAAATGCTACATCTATTTTCATAATGTCAATTAAACTTTTAAGAGTTCTAATTTTAATTATTTACATCACCTTTTTTTTTCAGTATACTGTTTTCAGAAAATATTTAATAAAGTAGTAGTGCTTTTGTACGAGTTACTTCTAAAACTCACCAAACCGGAATGGGCAATTTAACTCAATACCTGAAATTCCAGCCTTTTGCAATTTTAGCTTCTGGATCATCTAATCTTCTAAAGGAATATATTGGAATGCAATATCGTATATCAAAATCAATATTGCAGTCCCATTCTATAATTATGGCAATCACACCACCCTAAAACAAAGAACAAAATGTTACAATCACATTTTAAGATACTGGTTTAGTTGCAAAATATACATATAGAATGTACATGAACACTACGATTTTTTTTCCCTTTTAAATTATCACACAAGTTTAATGCCCTTAGTGTGCTCTTAGAATTACCATACAAGTTTATTGCCCTTAGTGTGCTGTTAGAATTACCATACAAGTTTATTGCCCTTAGGGTGCTGTTAGAATTACCATACAAGTTTATTGCCCTTAGTGTGCTGTTAGAATTACCATACAACTTTATTGCCCTTAGTGTGCTGTTAGAATTACCATACAACTTTATTGCCCTTAGTGTGCTGTTAGAATTACCATACAAGTTTATTGCCCTTAGTGTGCTGTTAGAATTACCATACAAGTTTATTGCCCTTAGTGTGCTGTTAGAATTACCATACAAGTTTATTGCCCTTAGAATTACCATACAAGTTTATTATGATTAGTATGCTGCTAAAGTGGCACAAGTTTATTACCATTAGTGTACTTTTAAAATTAGCATACAATTTTATTATCATTAAATGAATATGATCATTAGTTTACATTCAAGTCTGCATAGAATCTCTGGGTTATCAGTAAAATGATGTGCTTTAATATCTTATTATAGTCATTAACTTTAGTTATTGATAATGATAATGAGAGGCAAGGAGGCTGAAGAATATAGAGCTAATTAGCATATTTGTTTTCTCAACAATAGAGAATTTCACTATAAGTTCCCATTCTTTATAAACTCACAACTGTTCATATGAAAACAGTATTACAAATTTTTTGAAATCTAAGAACTTATTTTAATACATTTCTTCTTAATAAGCTGACAGATCTGGTTTTAAAATTAATAAAATAAACATTTTGCACTTTTAAAAATACTAAGTTAAAAAAACAATAATAAAACTATGCTCCTGAAGTAAAAAAGAAAAATATATATATACCTTCAAGTTTAGTTTTTTTGTTACTGTCACCGTATAGTGTAACAAAACAAATATATAACATATATATATATACATATACATATATATATATATATATATATATATACATTTAAACATATATATATACGGCCATTGCTAATAACAATAAACGTAGCTTTAAAAAAGAAAAAAGATGAAAAGTTTTACTGACGCAACTTACGTCCCCCCATCAAGGGTCGCTTCCCACAGTTT